AATAATATTGTTTAATAAGTAAACATTAATTCAATTGAAATATAAATTAATAATGTTTACATTTTCTCTTTATGCCGCATGATATTCAGTAAATATAACTTACGAAAAAATAATAACAATAAATGATTATCTCCATACAAAGATATTTCCACCTCAGAGTAGTAGGAGGAGGAGAGGAATGATCTGATGAACCTCTTCTCTCAGAAGAGGAAGATTTGAGTGAATCACAGCATTTCTATTGTCCTCCATCTTTTAAGGTGGAGCTATGGGCGTCGTCAAACCAGCCCCGCCCTGTTCTTTAGAATTTGCTGTGCTCTGCTTTTACTTCTCCTTTTACCTTTACCCCTCCTTTTTACCTTGTATACAAGGGCGTAGGGAGAAAAAAAGGAAGGGGTAGGCTATGAGCAGAAAAGGGCGCGCGAAGTGCGCCGTCGATTTGGCCACGCCCACTTTTATGGCCGCGAAATGGGCGTGTTCTCGCAATATGGAGTTTCATTTACTCTAATATCTATGCATGGTTCTCGCAACTGCTTCACACTCAGACTCAGATGAGGACTCAGGCAAGATTCAAGGTAGCAGCACAATCAACAAAATCATCATTCACAAGATCATCATCTTCAATCTCCTCATGCTCATCTTCAGTACAAATAGTCTATATGGCTGGGGTTGACTACTAATATACTCAACTAAAATTTGCATAAAAAATCACAAAGCTTTTGTTTCTTTGCAGCTGACATTGTGATGGCTTCACTTAAAGTTAACTTTTTATAAAGCTAGCTAATTAATTAAGTTAATTATGTAAAGACTCCACCTTAATAAATTATAATAATTGTGCTAAAATGGCTGTTTTTCTTTTCTTTCTCATGTTTCTGTTTGCCTGTGTCAAAAGAGACTGAGTGAGTAACTGCCAGTTGAGACAGCTACCCTAAACTTCTATAATCTTTGGTCATAAGTGACTAAGGCAGAAACTCAATATAGGTAAACTACTAAAATTCAATTCTGACTTCTGAACTTCAGGGTAGGCTATAGCCTACCCTAGCCTTATGCTAGCTACGCCCTTGCTTGTATACAATACTTAAACTAGTTAATGGCTTCAAAACTATCACATTTTCCATTAGGTGAATCAGATTATTTATAATATACTGATAGATCTATACATATTTTGTGTACAGATATTAGCAAATTAAAGCTTGTTCTAAAAGTCTTGAAGCACTACAAGTTTCCTGAAGCAAGATGGTTTGAGTTTGGATTGAATCTTGGTCTGCTTCATCCTACACTGGAAGCTATTGAGTCAGCTCATAGAGGGAATCCTTCACACTGCCTGATGGAGTGTTTAACCAAGTGGTTGACTAAAGCTGATGATAATGTCACCACTGTTGGTCCTATTATCTGGAAGACACTGGCTAATGCTCTTAGAGAAATGGATGTAAAATCTGTTGCCATTGATATTACCAAAACAAGTACATGTAGATCTGATATTGCTATTATTGTTATACTCTGTTTATCTTGTATTTAGTGGCAGATCCTGTTAGTGAGATATTGCAGTGTTATATTGGTAGACTAGCTCAAGTTGTTCTTAATGAGGAATCAGTTGATCTCTTACATACAGAGGGATTGATATCTAAGGATACATTAACAGAAGTGAAGAGTTGCGGTTGTTCATTGGTAGGAGATCCAATGTTACTAATATTAAGTGCTGTAGCTGAAGATCATAGCAAGTTATGTACTCTGACAAGCATTCTAATAAAATCAAAGGAAGCAGTGTCTTTAGCTAGTGATATAATAATGGAATATGGTAAATGAACAGTTTTATAAATACACTTAACTTATTTATATTGTAATACAATAGGAAAGTCATTTCCTTCAGCAGTAACAGTGATGCCATCTTGTCAAGAAGCAAGTACTTCAACATCTTCAAGTAATGATATAATATAACATATACATTGACTATTATAATAAATACAGGATCTGGAGAATTACAAGATAGTAGTAGTGAGACTCAAGTAACTACCAATACTGATGCTACTGCACAAGGTTAGTAACATTAATTATACCCAATTCAATGTCATTACACTATATTATAGGTGTAGTAGAGGTCATAGTTCATCCTGGCTATGAAGCTGAGTTTGATAGAATGGCTACTTTGCGTGGTAATCTTATTCACAATATTGTTCCTCTCATCAAACAGCGATACCATCCATTGATGATTTGAAGACCTACGTTAGACGATGTCGCTCTCATTTAGAAAATCAATTGGATCAAGCAGAAACGTTTGATGCTGTCATTCGAGTGATTGAAAAAGAGTGTTCCATTCTCAATGTTTCAGTTTTGGAGGCTATAGTGAATAATTATTCAATAAAAGATGCTGGAGACATGATATTAGCTTATCAGACACACTTGGATGAATTCTGTGAGAACAAATTAACAATGTTTTGTGATCGTCTGCTTAAGAAACTATCCTCTTCTCTCCTCACTTGTGAGACGATCAGGTTTGTTCTGGAATGGATTCCAAAAGAGCATTCTCTCTCCGATATCAAAGCCCTACTACGCAAAACGTTTCAAGATAATCAAGTAGATGTGGTAACCATTGAGGAAGGGAACTCCATCATTGTTACTTGTTACGCTCCTCATTATCTGATGGAGAGTTTACTAGTGACAGCTAGAGATAATTTTGATATGCTAAAGGAGATGGGATTGATTAGTTTAACTATTGGTTACTATACTGTGTATGATGAACATGCAATTGATGAGGTTAGTGAATGTATGTGTATATAAATTAATAGTATACTTTAATATTTGATAGGAGGTGAAGAGTCTGATGAAGAAACTGAAGATGGTAGAGAGTGAAAGAGATGATTTACTTGAGGAGAATACTAAATTGAAGGATACAATAGACACATTAGGTATATACTAATTATTATTAATTATAATTATTGATAATTTAAAGGTATCTCATATGAAGGTAGAGAAGTTGATGATAGCAATAAATCATCAGGTATAATGACATTAATGTTTTGAGACATAATATCTATGAATATTGTCATGTGCATGAATTTTGAATAAATACATCATGTAGCTTAATTGTTGCTACTAATTTAATTGGTTCATTTTTATTATTTAGAGTCTGAGAAGGAAGAGAGTAAGAAGAAGATGACAAAAGCAATGCAAATGGAAATAGATCATTTACGATCATCTCTTCAAAGCAAAACAGGTATAGATACAGACATACTTAATACTGTATAATGACAATAGAATACAGCTGTGTTTAGAGCATAGGCAGCTGCAGGGTCGGGCTTGGTCGGGCAATGCCCAACCAAAAATTTTGACTGGAAATGAGAATTTAAGTAATGACATCATTTTTAGTCATGAAAAATTACCAATTGCTAGCAAGAAACTATCTTTTTTGCTTTCCTTTGTCAACAAGCCTTCCAGGAGGACCAGGACTAGCACTTTACAGGTTGGATAGAGCTTTATAGATGAGACAGGGGGCCTTTTAGGCGTATTTTTATGGTATATCATAATGTATGCATGCGTTGAGTATATGCCCAAAATATGCGCGAAAAGTGGGCGTGCCCAAAATCAAGGTGCGCTTTGTGCACCATTTTTCTATCCCTGCCGCTCCGCCATCCTGCCGCCGCCTATGGTTTAGAGTATCATTATTGCTTGAATATTAATTTGTTATAGACCACCCTAGGCGTGAATTGGAAAAGTTATGAATTTCATTAATTTTATATACGGTACCCGCCCACACATCATAATTGGCTGCCATTTCGGTTGGCAAGTTTATTATGGAAGTCAATGGAGGCACGAAGAAAATGCCTCACTTACCTGCTGTAGCTCTATCAATAGCTAAAAAGTGCTTGTTATAAGAAAGAACAGCTGCCTCTAAGCTTCTCCTGTCAAGGATTTGGTCAAATTTGCTCCAGAAATTTTAATACAGGTTTGTTTTTATGTTGGCCCATTTGTTCTCCATTGAAAGTTGCCAACTAAAATGGCGGCCGGAATTTATTTCATCCTAAACCACGCCTTACAACCGTAAAAATTTCTAATAATCTTCCTATGCATTCAATTCTCGCCTAGGGTGGTCTATAGTAGGAGGATGATTGTATATACTCAATACTAATATCAGTGGTGTAGCCAGACCTTTTCTGATGACCGGGTGAAAAAGGAAAAAATATAATAGTGCGCGAAGCGTGCCGAAAAAGTTTCATGCTGCTAACAATATTCATGATGGGCGTGGTTAATTAAACCGCTGGGAAATGGCTGCTTTTAAGTAGAATTTGCATGAGATCGCTGGTCCTGTAGAGCAGTGCTCAATAATCACTGGTAAACGACTGATCATTGATATTTCAAGTTTTCAATTGCCTAATTATAATTTGACCTGGGATCTGATACGCGGGCCCAGGCCCAGCAGGCAAATTATTAAAATAATTATTACACAAATTATTGATAAATATTTCTAATGCTTTCAAAATAGCAACCAATTTTTGATTTGTAGTAATGACTATTATTAATGACTATAGGAATAGAAGAAACGTTAATTGGAGTAGAGAAAACATTAATTGAAAGAGAAAAGGAGATAGAACAGTTACAGGAAAAGATATCATTAATGAATATACAACAACTGAAAGAAACTTCAATTACTCTTAGTATATATTACATTATATTAACATAATGACTAGTACTGGTATTTTAGGAAAGGATCAGTCTACACAATCAATAGATCCACCAAAAGGACCAGTTTATGTAGCTATTAGAGACTGGCAGGCAAGGGATAGTACTGAGCTTTCATTCAAGAAAGGAGAGAAACTTGAGATCAAGAAAGAGCGTATCAATGGATGGTGGCTAGCAAGATCATTAGATACTGATCAAGAGGGATTTGTTCATATTATTGATATTAAAAAAGATGAAGAGAGTGAACTGTCAACATTGGAATCACTTGAGCTATTTCATTATGCAATGACAGAAAATGTTGACATACCTAAAATCAAGGGAATTAAGACGAGGAGCAACTTTGAGAGAGCAAGTCTCTTTTTATCATTAATTGAACAAAATTCAGTTCTACTTGATCAACTTAGAAAAAAAGAACATGGTAAGATCAAGAGTGGTAAGATATATTTATATGTACTAATAATCTATAGAGTATTTTGAGGGTATTGGATATTGTCCATGATCTGCAATTTCAATTTCGAAAATTAAACAAAATTAAGGGGTTTTGGCATACAAAATTTTTATTTCTGTATATAATTTTTTGAAAAATGCAAATTTTCTTCTTATAAAATTCACAAAATTACCAGCTATACAGAAGTGTTGCTTGCCTTAGCCATTAAAAATATGATAGTAGAGAATTATACTTGATAATACAGTAATTAATTATAATTGTTTATGTATTCAGGAAAACCTAAAGCAATTAGGTGGTATGATGATGGTGTTGAACTGACCTCTCCATCTCTAATACAATGTCAAGAAGTAGTTTCTCTATTAACATACAAACATAAGAGCATTGTCATCAAGGACTCATCTCCTGATGTTGTGTGTGATCTGTTGCCAGTTTTATTACAAAATGAAAAGGTGAAACTCTTGAGAATACAAGACACTCAACTAACACAGCACTGCATCTCATCCTTATGTAACTTACTGGCTAATAATAAATCATTATTAAATTTATATCTTGTTAACTGTTCCATTGATGACAAAGCAGTTGCTGATATTACAAACGTATTACAAACACACAATAACACACTTTTAGGATTAGTCTTCTTTAAGAATCCTTGTATTACTTCAGTTAGTGCTCAGTCTCTTTCTGAACTAATTATCAACAACTCAACATTAATTCAATTACAAATAACAGACACTTCAATATCATCTGATGGAATATTAATAATTCTTCAATCGTTAACAATTAATAAAAGTATAAAGCTCTATCTAGATATGAAAGACAAAGACACTTGCACAGAATATCATGACTATAATATTATAAAAGATAGAGTAATATTTTTTGATTAATTAATAATAATTGTATTCTGGTTTTTATTGACAATGCTGACTCATCAATTATTTTAATAATTATTAATTTGAACACAAAATAATTAACAAAGTGATTTATGATAAACACGTACAAAAAAAAGTAAATACAAATAATAATAATAATAATAATAATAATAATAATAATAATTGCGTTCACCCATTTTAATAATAAATTATTATTGCAATCAAAGACAATTAAAATAAAATAGAAGAGAATAGTACAACCAGTTTATTGGGCAAGCAGTACATGTGTCAGTTGTTATTAAAATAATAATAATAATAATAATAATCAATTCATTATCTTATTAAAACTGAACTATTATGATGGTCCTTTGTCCCCTCCCCTTCCTCCACAGCATCCTCCCTTAGCACGTGGTGTATCAGTCTGTCTTAAGAGAGAGGCACCAGCTGGTAAACTAGTTAAACAATCTGGTGGTAACTTACGAGCTATGAGACAAGAGAGAGAGAGAGAGATTATGTTACAATAGTACATACTACAGTACATCATTAGTAGCTACTCACTTATTTCAATGAACATTTCCTCAACATTCCTAGCAGTGAGGGCACTAGTCTCTCCAAATATGGCATTAACTTCTGATGCATAAGTCTGACCTTGTTCAGCTGGATTCTGAGAGGAGAGGAGAAGGGAGGAGGGAGAGAAAGGAGAGGAGATAAAAGGAGAGTGTAGTAGAGAGGGAGAGAGAGAGGATTTATTACATTTTCTGATACATATTGATGTACTTATGCTGTTTGAAAGTTTGAGCTGATTCCGGCTTCAATTTTTCAAGTTATGACCATTTTTTAAAACAGCCAATTCTTGAAAAATACCCAAGACTATAGCATATGGTTTTTTGGTAAAATGGCTATAAATTCACCCTAAATTTTTGTTACACTTCAATGCTCTTATGTACTAGTCATACTTCTCTTTTATCTTCAAGGTCACATTTATTTCCAGCAATTGCTAATACAATATTAGGTGGACCTAGTCTGTGTAGTTCTGCTATCCAATCCTGTAACACTGTGAATGATCCCTACATGTACAACAATGTACATAATGATTATAATAATAACAACAACAATAATAATAATAATAAATACAGCAATATACAACGTATGCCTACATAGATGCAAAATAATCCGTATAGTGGGAAATTTTCGTGGCCCAAAATTTTCGTGAATTTTGCATTTTTTACAAAATTTATGAAAATAAAATCTGTGACCAAAAAGTAGAAAACCACAAAAATTAAAGCCACAAAAATTAAAGCCACAAAATCAATTTTTTAGACAGATTCGCAAAAATTTCGGGCCACAAAATTTCTGCTATACGGTAATAATAATAATAATAATTCTTACTTCATTTGTTATTATCATACACAACAATGGCTGCTGCTGCATTTCTGTAATACATTGGTAATAGTGACCGATACTAATTAGAAGAGATAAAAAAAGAATAAAAATAATAAATAAAATATATTTATTGTGTGACTTACTCTCTCCTGTCCAGCTGTATCCCATATTTGAAACTTGATTGTACTGTTGTCAACTGTTAGACTTTTCGACATAAAAGAAGCTCTGGAATACAAATACATGTAACGTCTGATAAATACATGTAATGTTTAATAAATACGTACATGTATTATACATGTAATGCAATGTTTGATAAAATACATTAAACACTCAGGAAATAACAAACTACATAAACAGATTATACTACAGGACATGAGAGAGAGGAGAAGGATGGAGGAGGAGGAAGAGGGAGGAGCTGTCATGGTGGTCATACAATGTTCTTGGTTAGGTATTTCTGTGATATGCTATCAGCAATGTTCCACTGGTCATCAATAGTAGTGTCAGTGGATTGGATAGAAGAGACATCAGTAGGACACCTGGACACAAGAGAGGAGAGGAAAAAAGTAAGTAACAAGAGTCAACCCAAAATTCCTGATTTACATTTTTCCCATGACATGAATAATGTATATGACAGGCTTTCAAGAAACTTCAAAATTTCTTTAAAATCCAATTTACCATGTACTATAGTACAGGGGCTTTGATCTGATTTTTGAGTAACTTTAAAAATTCGTAAAAATAAGAATCAGTTTAAACTTTCAATGCAACATAAGTACATGTACATGTATATGCACACACATGGATCAGAAAATGCTGTTAAGCATGTACTGCATTTACTGTATTTTAGGAAACGGCAGTAGTGAAGTATCAGTGTATTTCCTGTCAGTCAATGATGAAGTGGGTGGAGTCAAAGGAGGAGGAGAAGCATCCAAAAAACTTTGTATATGTCTCTATAAAAACAACAAAACAATAACAACAGTGTTACATGTACATGTATTAATAATAATGAATAATAAATTATTTACATGTACATGCACATTGTAGCATGTTCTTACATTTGCTCCACAAAAGCATCACAATCGCTGTCGTCATAGCAACTAGAAGCCACGCCCCCAAACCCATCAATAAAGCTACTAAAACTCCTCGTCCTATCAGCTCCTATTGCCATGGAAACGGTATCAGAGAGCATTCTTAAAGAGCGAGGAGGAGAGAGTGATTAGGCACACCCATAAACGGCTTGTGTTGCTATGGAAACACCAGAACTTTTGTTATTAAAGTCAGACACTTGAATGCTCCAATTGTAAGTGGAAGTGTCATTAAAAGGAAGGCTCCGCCCATTGTTGGTTGCTATAGTAACGGTACTCTTAGGCGTCATAATTTTAGGTGTCGTAATCAATGAGTTTGATTAGTCAGTACTTTTGTGGTGATTATTGGTTGCCATGGTGATGGTGGGTGTGGCTTTGCCAGAGACAGTTGGTGTAGTATCATTAGTGATGTGTTGATGAGGTTTATCATCAAATAGCTCTCTTGCCTATAGTACATGTATAAAATGAACAGAAAATAAAATATTATTGGGGCGAGCAAAAGCGAGCCCCACTTAAGCGAGACTCTTCTGTACGTATGTATGTATGTACGTACGTCTTCAGTCACGCCTATTCT